TCCTACTTCCCCATCTTTCAGAAGCAAGGAGCCATTGGGGAAAGTGCTTTCGAACTTCGGCCATCCGTCGAGGCCTGTCCTGAATTCAGAAGTGGAGTCAAGTCGTAGGATTTCGTAGATCAAAGATGTTGATGTCAAGAGAGTTAGCGTGTGCCTTTCAACGACAGCGACGCCTGACGTCTGCACATGGGCTTCAATTTGGGCATGGAAGGAAGTACCGAGAACAGGGATGTTCTCCAGTTGGGGTCAAGAGGCTCCCCGTTGCTGAAGATTCCGCTATTGATGGCCGCCTGCGTATCGGCGGGAAGCTCTGCTTCAAAATCGGGGAACTTGTCCTTTGGTTGCGGTCACGGAGGAAAGGGGAAAGCCAGGGCTTTTAACAAGCAAGAAGCTTGCAGCTTTTCCAACGCCGCCCAGGTTCAAAGCCGATAAACAGCACATGGATCTTCTTGCCAGCCTCGATGCCAAGATATTTGTTTTCCACTGTGGTCAAGTCCACACTGGCATACACATTACCGGTGTTCTCATAGTTCTTCACGAACTCGCAGAGCAGCGGAACATATTGGTCTTGCGAGAAAATATTAAAGTACTGATCCGGCAAGTTGTTCGGGTTCGGCAAGGCTGCAAACCCCTCTGTGTCTGTAGAGAATCCGAACGATGAGCTGGAGACTATTGGGCCTTCATTCCTGTAAATGTCGAACTTTGTCTGGTTGGTGATGGTGGGTGTGGGCGTGGAGCAGTCCAGGAAGTCTGAAATATTAGGAGCCGCATCCCTGCCGAAGCGGCTACTGCCGCGAGGAATGAAGAAGCCCGCGTCGAACTGCAACAGACATGAGGCTCCACTTAAGATGGCTCGGGAAAGTCCATTGATGGTCTGACCCGCAAATCCACCGACCACCCAGTCCCGCTTCTTTACGTTGCCTCTCTTCTTCGAACCCACGGGCCAATACGGCCGGCGAATGGACACGGGAAATTTGTCTGGCCCAGAAGGATCAAAAGCTCGGCCAGCAAGAGCAACTAGGTTGGCCACATCCTGAATGAAGTCCTCATTCCCGACGATGATAGCCTGGTCGAGGTCGTTGGCGGCGAGACCCACCGCGCTCTGCAAAGTGAGTATGGACGTGTCCTCCATATTAACAGACAGCAGGAGCAGGGTCCACGTGAGGGCGCAACAAGGCTAGACTGCCCCTTGCTCGGTCCTCTGCCAAGGGACTGTAGGTCCTCTTGCTGAAGCCAGCCTGTGCGCGGTGTGTTCTTGGCGCTTCCGTGGACAGGCAGGCGACCTCAGACTTCAAAGCTGCAGGGCTTGGGCGTTGGGGGTCCGAAGTGTAGGTTTGTGGGATTGTAGCTTGCAGGCCAAGGCTTATCAGCCTGAACTAGCATTTGAATGGCACAATAACGGCATGGTCGGGATGTGCAGCTGAGCGTCCGAATCCACCAGGCCACCACCAATCACGATGTTCTCCAGAGGTGGAGTAGTCGAAGCGTTGATGGGCACGAAATCCAAGTTCTGCTCCCAAAAGTAAAAGGGAACTCCACACTGGTCTGGGCTGAGCCAGAACAATGGCCTGCCAGCAAAGGCTGGAGAAAGATGCCAGCATATGCCAGTATGATAATCATCCCTCGCATTTGGATGTGCTTCACGTGATGGCTTTGTGACGGTCAAGCGAATGATGCAAGAGTTCAGACCCTGATTTCGCGCCCTGCAAGGACCCCTGGAAAGCCCTGAGGCCTGCCAGCAAGCTGGGGCAAGTAGCCCTCGGGAGCAATCAGCCGGCCATTTAGCACCTCAGAGTGCTGGGCCGTTTGGAAGTTGCAAGCTATGACACGTTGCTCTTTAGCAGCAGCAACACTTGGGTCTGAGATTCATCTTGCCAAGCCGAAGAACATAACTCTTGATGTTGGTCCTCTGAATGGTGAGGCTTCCTGTGAAGTCCTGCTGCGGATTTTCCCTCCGCAACCTTTGCAAATGCTCCTCGTCAAGCGCCCACACCTGGGGGGGTTGGCTAGAAGACATCAACGACTCCATGAAAAAAACGAGTCATGCTTTACATCAATAACCTCTGGGCGTTTCCGAACATCAGGCCCGCCTGATCCTCGTTGGTGTTTGAGCAGACAGGGAACCCTGCTAAACCATCGAACGGGGGAGGAACCGGCGGAACCTGGATAGCACCATTTGGCAAATTGAATGGAGGCGGCAAAGCGCCGTTGAGCTCAAAGGGGCAGAGGTAATTGATTGCTTGGGAAATGGTGAAGACTTCGTTGGTCGGCAAGTCCGCCGGTGCCACCGCGTTCAACGAGAGCAGAGTCGCGAGGACCGGCTTTGTAGTCACCTCTCAATTTCGTCACAGCATGTTCCGTAGCAACCCAAAACTGAACAACTTGCAACCCTACAAGCTCCTCCTCAAAGACGAGCTTCTGGCAACAAAAAAAATCTGTTGGTCCGTTTCCAGTCTTCGCCTGCCTGCAGAATCTGACTTTGGGGTTGAGCCTGAAGTGCGGCCAACGTCAGGTCTTGCGGTTCGGTTGGCGCTCCCAGCAGGTCCTCACGCGGCGCCGTACAATTTTGTAAGGAAACAAGTATCACACAAGAAACGCTTTACTGGCTATACAAAACAGATCTGATGAGAAACACAAGAAACCTCAGGACGTCGGAATGCATCGGGAGTCTTGGAGGTTCCCTGCGGCCTTCCTTCGACTCTGGGCCGCCGGACAAACGGAAAAAAAAAAAAAAAAAAA